AAAAAAAAAAAAAAAAAAGACCAGGTCTTGCTATGACCATTCATCTGTTGACAGACACATACACTGATTCCAAGATCTAGCTATTATGAGTTGTGCTGCTATAAACATGAGTATGTATCGCTGTCTAATTCTTTCAGGAATATACCTACCTAGAAGAAGAAGAGCTGGGTTGGAGAAATTTCTAGTTTTCAGTTTTAGAGGAATCGTGATACTGATTTCCATAGTGGTTGAACAAGTTTACCTTCCCACCAACAACGTAAAATGGTTCCTTTTTCTCCACAGCCTTGTCATCATTTGTTATTATTTGATTTCCTAATTATATCTATTCTTTCTGGAATAAAATAGAATCTCTGTATTATTTTAATTTGCATTTCTCTAATGCCCAGAGATGTTGAATATCTTTCATGTATTTATTAACCATCTGTGCTTCTACTGAAAGGGGGGTGTCTATGTATTTTATTTCTTTTCATATTCTAGATGTTAGCCCTCTGTCCAAGGAGTAGCTGGCAAAAGATTTTTGGGATTCTATAGGTTGTCTCTTCACTGTGTTGGTTGTTTCCTTTGCTGTACAGAAGCTTTTTAATTTGATATGATTATATGGGTTGATTCTGGAGCATCTGGCATTCTATTCAGAAAGTCCTTGACTAAGTATGTCTTCAAGAGTTTTACCTATTTTGTTATCTAGCAGATTGTTTCTGTTTTAATATTTAGATCTTTGATCCGTTTTTATTTTAGTACATGGTAAGATATGGGTCTATATTCTATCTTACACATGTGGGTAGCCAGTTATCCCAGCACCATCTGTTCAAGATATATATTTCCTCCTGTATAAGTGTTTGGCCCCTTCATCAAAGATTAATTTGTTGAATGTGCCTGGGGTTGTGCATCTTCTGTTCTGTTCCACTGATCCACATGTGTTTCTGTGCCAGTACTACGGTGTTTCTATCACTGTAGCTTTGTAATATCACTTCAAATCCAGGATTGTGATGCCTCCTGTGTTGCTTTTATTACATAGGACTGCTTCCGCTGCTCTGGGTCTTTTGGGTTTCCATATGAATTTTAGGATTATTTTTTCTAGTTCTGTGAGGGATGCTGTTGGTATTTTTATAGGGATTGTATTAAACCTACATATCAGTTTTGGAAGTATGGCCATTTCAACAATATTGGTTTGGCCTGCCCAGGAACAGGGGTATCTTTCCATTCAGACATCCACTTGAAGCTCTTTCAGAGTATAGTAGTTTTCATTATGCAGGTCTTTCACTTCCCTGGTCAGGTCAGTTCCTAAGTATTCCATGTTTATTGATGTTATTGAGAATGATATTGTTTTCCTACTTTATCAGTGAGTTCATTACTGGTGTATGAAATGCTATTGATTTTGTGTGTTGACTTTATGTCCTGCTATAATACTGGCTTCAGTTGCTACTTCTAGGAGCTTTTCGGTGGCATTTTTTGGGTCTTCTATGTAGAGGATGGTGTCATCTGCAAATAATAATTTGAATTCCTCTTTTCCTACACATATATCTCTTCTATTTCTTTCTCTTCAATGTTGCTCTGACTAATGTTTCAAGTACTACACTGCTATATTGAATAGGAGTGGTCAGGTATGGTGGTGCACACCTATAATCCAGCACCTGGGATGCTGAGGCAGGAGGATCACTACAAGGTCCAGTCTGAATGACATAGCAAGTCCATATCTTAAAAACAAAACCAAACAAATGAATAGGAGTTATAATAGTGGACATGCTGGTCTTGTTCCTAAATTTAGAGGAAAAACTTTTAGCTCTTTCCTCAGGGTTTTTATCATGAACAGATGAACAACTCATTTTTTAAATGCTTAAGTCTATTTCTTAAAAAAAAAAACTATTAATATTCTTTCACCATATTTACTGTGAAAGTGGGGTCAGTGAACAGGACACTATATTCTCTGACAACCCCGAGAAACTCCTCTCAACTTTTATCATCAGGAATATTTGTACTTTTTATGGAACAGCTGTGCTGCTCAGATAGTTAAGTTTATGCTTCTATTTTTTGTTCCAAGTGCAAAGCCAAACTTGTGGCCCATCTCTACCACACAGCTGATCTTTTCTCTGTTCCTGTCCTTCCATTCTGCAGACACCTTTTTCTTCCACTGTTCTGACATCCTGTGATCAACACTTGCAAGCTATCTAACAACCTTGGGAAAATACAGAACAACAGCATGTCAAAATCTGAAAGTTCCATAATATAAAAACTCACTTGTACATTTTACTTTCTAAGTAGATCATATTCATCTTTCAAAGAACCTCCACAAAAAAGTACTCAGCATATTCTACATTTAGATGGATTTTTACACTTTTAGATATGAAACACTGAAAACTCTATGTTGTAACTCTTTAAAAGTTTCCCTATATTTCTAGCTCTGCATTTCAGACTTTCACCTGATATTCTAAGAATGAGCCCCTTAGACGTCACAGATTCCAGTCATACCAGACAGTTCTCCATGCCCTGTAATTTTCCTCCCTCTAGCCCATTACTCAAACTGCTGCATTTGCCAACGTTCACTTGCCAAGAGCAAGTCTTGTTCCAAGGCCAGGCCCCTGGTTATCCCCAGAAAGTGTGCCACCATATCCACTCTCCCCATCAGATAGTGCAGGAGTAAGTAACTTTCGAAATTTCCCCAGCTTTCACATGAACTCCTTGTTGAAAATTACCCTTTCGTGAAATTTCCTGGATGCCATCAGTTGGAATCATTCTCAGCCTCTCTTCAACCCTTAAAATTTTATCAGTATTCTTTGTCTCGAGTTTATTCATCTTACTCACCACATTGTGATCAGTCAAATAGCTGGAAACCTACAACATTCATTTTTGGATTATAACACTGAACATACATAATGAATAAACACCACAAGTTCCTACAGCAGAGGTGACTGCAGTGTTTCTTAACTAAAATGCTTTAAAATTTCTAGGAAACTAAATTCATTTGAAAATGAGTTGATACACCAACATAGAATGAAGAGAACACTAAGTTCATCATTTTTATCAACTTTGATTATTCTCTGGCTCAGTGTAATGAGGTAAAAGTACAGAGCAAGTCACTTCATCTGTCAGGTTTCTGCACTGGTAAAAAGGAAAGAACAGCAATCATCTCTAACAGTCTATGACTTCTAAGTGTCAGTTTCTTTGAACATGAATTGGGAATAATACCTCCCAGCCTACCCCACTGGGCCTCCATCTAAAAGATCAACCGTGATTATATATGGGAAATGTTTTAAAGAATATGAAGTATAGGACTTCAAATCATTAGATAATGCAACGTTCACAACAGAGTATCAAGTTCTCTCACTCCTGATCCAGGAATGAGTCACACATCAAATAAAATGCATTCTTTTAATTTCACCTAATACTGAGTCACTGATACATCAATCTTCTGAATAATTCAAAGAACAAGAAACTTACCAGCATTTCCTGAATACCGTCCTAAGTGCAGTTTAAAAAATCTTGTTTCATCCTCTAGCCAAAAATTATCATATGAAGCATAAGCAAATGTGTTGTCTTCTGATTCCAAAGCCACATACAGCATAAAACTGACATTTTTCTGATTTACTATATAAAAAATCTTTTTTAGTCCTAGCCAAAATTCTCCTGTAAAAAAATTGCTTTGTTTTAGTATATTGCAAAACACAGTAGAACAACCCTTTATTCTTTAAAGTTTGGTATTATTCAGTGTTTCAACAACTCTGAGATGACTCACATAAAGAATTATAAGGACTGGTTGGCCTAGTTCAAATTATTAGTGTTTATCTAATTAAAAACAACTTCCTACTTCTACTTCACCAGATTGAAGAAAATTAGACTGTTTCATTTTATCTCCCCAAATGAAGTTCATAAGTTTATTTAAAGACTAAATAATAAGTCAAGTTTTACCTTAAGGCATGTCAGCAGAAATTTGTTGGTATATTATAGTAGGCAACAAAATCACGTGCACCAGTAAATGCAGGAGGTTCACTCCTAAAAGAAGTATGTCCTGAAAATGCCCATTGAAACTGTTTTCCCGGAAAATACTTCCTGAACAAGTATTTCTTTGATGTAATGCAGCTTATCAATTCCCTATGATTGGAAGTAGAATGTAGCAACACCAGCCTATCTCAGGTTTAGAGTCAATATTTCCAAGATGATTTTAAATCCAAGATAAGTGAAAGAACTTCCGAATTCAGATGGCACAATTTTTGCAAGCATATCCTACCCAATGGCTTTCTACTTCCCTCAGTCCATGGCATAGCCTAAAGGAGCATAGCCTCTGGGATATATGCTTCTACTTGAATTATGAAATTACCAAAGGACCTACGAATCTAGTCAAAACAAACTTCAAAGAGTTAGGGAATAATGGGACTGCATTCAAACTCTTAAAACTAAAACTAAGATATCAAGTCCTTTTTCCAGGGCTTACCAGGGCAATTTAGCTACCACCCAGTTAGAATTGAAAACGTATCCAGAATAAACACAAGAAGAAAACGGGCCGAGTAAGATGGACCCCTTGGGGTCTGTTTAGTCTCAAGCAGCCTGTGACTCTTGCCCTTAAGTCCCTGTCATCTTTTCCCTTGACTCTAGCCCTATATTTAAGACTTAACAGTACATTTTTCTTAATCCTCAAATTATTTTTTAAATGTTCAAGTAAAAGGCAATCTCAGTTTGCATCAAGAATATCTACCTAAAGACTTTATTAATCAAAACTCATATCATCACTCCATAGAAATAAACATAAAGTAAGGAAGATGACAATTCTAAGCTATGTCAATCTATGACTACTTAATTCAAAAGGAAACACTCAGTGGGAAATCAGAGACATGTTGAGAAAGACAAGTATTTAACTGCATTCTATAGCATGGCTCTTTTCTGGCTATAAGCCAAACCCCTTTTAAAACCATTGGCACGCATAGGGTTTATACCACCAGGATTAACACTTCCATTTACTGAATGAATCCTTGAATGACATTATTATGAGATGCTAAACATTTTAAATGACAATGATAGCAACATTTAAAATAGCACATAAATTATCAAAGTCACCTGCAGAAGTTCCAACTAATGTAAAAGTCTGCAAGGTTCAGAAATACCAATGTTGGTGCATGCTTTTAATCTCAGCACTCAGGAGGCTGAGGCAGGAGCATCACCATGAGTTTGAGGCCAGCCTGGGCTACATAAGAGAGTTCAAGGCGAGCCTGCACTACATAGTGAGACTCTGTCTCAAACCCTCTCCCCAACAAAAAAGAAATATCGATGTCCTGCTTACTAGCAAAAATCATTCTCCTGGGGTTTATAATTTTGAAATCTGAACATAGTGACATTTATTAATATTTTTGTAAGGCACTATGCTCATTTGAATTTGAAGAGTACTCAATTTGGAATTTTCTCTCAAATCACATTTCAACAGATATCTTTTAAAAATTTTTAGATATCAACTGAGGATCTTTTTAAAATCTGACATATGAAGACAGCATATTTTAAGTCATATTTTGATAGTCACATGGACTTGCTATTTTTACAATCAATGCAGAAAATCTATACACATAATATCAAAGTGGGAGGAAAAAAGTAGAGAAGAAATACATAAAAGTTGACCTAAAAGGTCACCAAATCCATCCAGATAATCACACCACAACCTCTGGAAATCAATCATCCCATCCATCCTTTTCTGTATCACGGTCCATCCACCTCCTCTGTAATCCATGTCGCACATCACCTAAACACGCCCAGAAAATACCAGAATAATACACCATTAACTTCGTTATTTGATATTATAAAACTGATGCTTCATCTAGAAGCCCAGAGAAAGATAAGATACTTTTCACTGAAAATTTCAATACATTTGTATGCCATTAATGTATTCAGATTTTTTTAACTCTAGAAAAATACTATTATAAAACAAACTTATAATAAAATTAATTGCAGTCCTTGTACCAGTCACTTTTTAAGCTATTTGCTTTCTTACTATAACTTTTTAAGCTTATCTTCTTATTCTTCAACTCTATAAATATTTTTCAGGTTAGTAATAATGGTACTGATCTGGTGTGGCAGAGTGATGTGCATTATTACTCTACAAATTAACTTTTTCTTCCCATTAAAATGCTCAGTATTTTAAGTGTTAAATGTGCCTGTATGTCTGGCTTGGTCACTCTAATCTCCCACAAACCGGCTTGTGTTCAGACCAGCACTTCCAGACAGAAAATCACCCTCCAATCCCACGCAGCAGGTGCTCACAGACGCACCTAAGCGGGCAGCTGCAGGAGACCCATAAAAGTGACAGAGAAAAAGTGACAGGGACAAAAGCAGAGCAACTCTCTCCATCAGGAACTTCCCACACAGAGACAGGGAAAAGTGGTGTGGAGGAGGTGAGGGAACCAGCATCTTCCCACGGAAGAGGCAATTATGCACCCCACACTCTACAGAATTAGAAGCCTTCCTCACCACAGCTGTTCAGATCCAGTTCTGAATATGTAGGCAAAGTAATTTAGGTAATTTTAAAATTATTTCCCACCTAATTGCCAATTTTTGGTATCTTGTCAACAGATTACAAAAAGTAATAGTAGTAACTCTAAGGAGATACTGGTAGTATGCACTTTAAAAAAAACATTGTACAATAAAGACTATCAATAAAGAATCATACAACACATAAATTTTCCTATGTAAAGAAAAAGTGTGCCCAGAAAAGACACATGTATGTATACACACATATATCCTATCAATATGCATTATCTCTAATAAAAGTTTCCTTTAGAAATCAAAGCATAGAACTACTAAGGACAGACATAGGATGATCTCATTTTATTCAGATTAAGAATAGATTATCTTATCAATCTGCCTTGTATGACCGTAAAATATTTTTTATTTATTAATTTCTTATATAATCACATAGAATCCTTTTTCATTAAAAGAAAGTATAATCAAAAATAGGAAGGGTAATCAAATGTATTTTAGTGGGATCCAAGGAAAAGAACACCATTTTTTCTAACCTCCATAGGTTAATTAAAGCAGAGATTTATGCTGCATGATTCTGCCTACTGTAAGGATAATATAAGACCGTGTGCTGAACAGATTTACTTTGAAAATTGTAACCATGGAAACTCAAGTAGAAAAGTGAAAGATGGGATGTTCTTCTCTGTTTCATCATTTGGGCCTTAGAATTACAGAAAACCACAATTTTAAAACTGGAGCTTCTACCAATTTATTTCAGATATTTCAAGGAAAACATTTCAAAAAATTAATATGTTAAATATTAATATTGAATTTTATCTTATTCTATACAATAAAGAAAAACTTTACCTCAAATGGGTAATTAGAGCCTTCTGGATAGATTATATATAAACCACTTGGTGTCTTGGTAACAGAGCCAATGGTATCTTTAATATCAGTGCAATCTAAACCTAGAAAAGTAAAATTATTTAGGATACCTTCAGTTTTGCATTTCAGACAGTCGTTACTGTAGAGAATTGATAGTGCTTTTTGAAATTATTAGTATAATCTCCATTAATGATATAATGGTCTTAACTTCTTAGAAATGATACATGGTCACAATTTTAGAAAATATATAGAAGAACTGAGGTTAAAAAATTTAGGCTGTAAGCTGGGTGTGGTGGCGCATGCCTGTAATCCCAGTACTTGGGAGGCTGAGGCAGGAGGATCGTTGCAAGTTCAAGACCAGCCTGGGCTACAAAGTGAGCTCAAGGCCAGCCTGAACTGAGACCCTGTCTCAAAAAGACAAAAAATGAAATAAAATTAAAAATTTAGGCTGCAATAAACATTCACCCACAACATCATAGTTAATGATTAATGTTCTACTGTATATATGTATCTTATTTGGGATCAACACTGACTTAATATACTATGCATTCTCTTTTCCAATAACTAAGATTCTTTCAGGAATCCAGGTTCCTCTTAGAGGGCGTAAGGGAAATCTCTACGAATGGAGAGGAGGAAACTCAAAAGTAAGTAAGTTAACAACTGTCAACACACCCTTGACTACTGTATTCCAAACTTGGAAACTGATGTATATTGGACAACGCTGTTACCCACAGGCAAACGATGGAAATGGAGAAGCCACCGTCTTTACCAAGAAGTTCAGCTTGAGATCAACACCATCTTTACAAAAGTCAGAGCTGCAGTCCACATAATGACCCTCTCCAAACCACTCAGCTCCCCGGGAATTGTACACATGCATGTGTGGATATGGACACTGGGTTTTTACTAGGAATATTATATTTTATTGAAAATACTGCAGTTGCAACTTTTATAAACGTAAAAAATCCAGCTCTTAAAAGCATCAGTTGCTCAGATGCCTGGTTTAGAGGACCGGTTCTACTCCTCACCAGCCAAGAGGCATTAACTAACCAAAGCCTTATTTTCTTCATAAAATATCAAAATAATAATACTATATTATAGTGTCATCCTGACAATTTACATACCTAGATATTATATAAAGCCCTTAGCACAGGGCCTGCCATACATTAATACACAGAAATGTCTCTCTAAAAAGTTAACTATAAAGAAGTGTTTCTTTTCCCTTTATTCCCAGGAGATGTAGATTTGCTGCCTAGGTTCTGAATTGTTAAGATATGTTCTTATAATAACTTTACACTCAAAGGTATGATAGAAGTTCATGCTGAAGAAATGATCTAGGCTGAAGTATCTGCTTTGTCATTACCATCCGAATAAGTATAAACAGATTATTTAGATTTTTTGGGCTTTACATTCCTTATCTGATGGTAATCATCATCACAGCAAGTCTTGATATTGCTCTTAGTATGCATCAAGCAACAGTTTAAGGACTTTTTTACATATTTACTGATTTTCCCCTTCAAACTGACCACCTGAGACAGATACTACAAGTTTACTGATGAGGGAACACATCAAAGAAACAGCAGGTCAGAGGTTTGAGGCCAGATAGTTGGGAGTTCATGTTCTGAACTACCACGGGACATTACCTTCTGAGAGACACTTGCAGGAAATAAATGCTACAATCAAATAACTTAAAGTAACAAGTGAAAGTGCCTATCTTCACCTCGAACACAGGAGGGTCTCAGGCATTGTCTATTATCTTCCCTTTCTAGGAAAAAAATAAAGAGCACATACCAGGCCCTCAGTGAAATTTACTTGCTGAGAACTTTGTGGTGGGAATTCATTCTGTAGGTTTACAGAGTCCCTTTCTTACAAGACCAAGCCATAGGAATTAATATGCTGCATTTCAGTACAAAAAAGTACTAACTTTCTATTTATTTCTACCTTAAATGTCTTTTTCTTTTCAAATGTTATATCCCAGTTTGAAACCTTTCAAACCAGTCAAAAATATTTTTACAGGTGGGAGGAATTCTGAAACTTACTTTTCTTCTGTCTGAAAAGTAATTATTAATAACATGGCAAAAGCAGACGTCCAGCGTAAAGCTGCCTACAACTTCGCTATTTTCAACAGACTCAGGATGTCCTTGTGCAGGCATGATTTTCAAATGGTTCAAAAAGTTTTCTGGTTTAGGAAAGTGCACATTGTCCGTGGTGTAATTTACTTAATGGCAGGTATTAGCCTTCCAGTCTTGTTAGAGAACAGTGAGCTGCCTTTTATAAACAAAACGTTTAAATATACTAAGCTGTCCAGGAAAATTTTAAGCGATAAAACACAAAATGAAAAAAACTGAAGTATCAGCACTCTCACCATGCGACTGCACTGTTCTGTGAGGAAAAGGGTCCAGCTGCTTCCTAAAGACTTCTGTAGTCAAAAGGAGAACTCGATTCATGAGCTCATTCACCTAAACACACATGCGCACACACATTTAAGTGAACTTATGTTTGAACAAACCTCCTCCAACTAAATTATATATACACCACCTCTAAGCCTCTTATAAATACAGCTCTGAAGTGCTGCCCTTTTCTCTAAGCTGAACCCTTACTGCTTTAACAAAACATTCGAAGTGTAACTAAGTAACAGTCATCACATCCGGCAGTGTCTACCTCCTGATACTGATTCCGTCTGCCCACCTCTGTGTGATGCAGATTTTCCTCTCCTTTCTGGTCCTCTCCCTTTGATCTTCTTGGAGTCGTCATTCTCTACACTAGCTGTCAATGGGATCATACTATTTCCTCGGGTGAACCCTTGATTGACTATTTCGTGTGCCACAGTTTAACCCCTGGTTATTTCTTTAGTTCTTCAGCTTTCCTTGTACATCGTGAACCTCACCAGCTGATCCAACCCACACCAAGAATTCCCTCAAAATAGAATGCCCTCCTCCCTACCCAATCCTTGGGACTTCTAATGCACTTATTGATCTCTCATGACTCAGCTTGCCAGCTCTCTTTCTCTTTTGCGTCATTCTAACAGCATCCACTATTTTTTTTACCTTTTTCTGCTCCACTAAACTGTATCTCTTGAATGGCCACTGTTTTGATCACTGTCTGTTTGTTGGAGGCTTACTGCGGTACCTCTTACATATTGTGGTACCTTTCACATAGCAGGCACTAAATAGATGTCTGAACGTGACTGTATTAAAAAAAAAAAATAGTGCCTTCAGCTAGCAGTTAATATACACATGCAATAACAACACAGTACTAAAAGTCCATACCTGATTGGATAAATAATCCAGGGATGCTTGTTGCTCATCCATCATATTTCTTAATAGTTTTTTGGTACTTCGTGTGTAGGAAACGATAGAATTTTGCAGATTTCCTTAACCATAATAAAAATAGCTGCTAAATATTACATTGTTATAGAAAACAATTACAGTGAAAATGAATTTCACATGATTTTGGATAAGTATGTAAACAAAATATATCAGTTTATCTGAATACTCAGAACTGTATATTTTAGTCAGTATATATTGTGTTTAACTCAGGATTAACTAAAAAAAAAATTTAATGAAACAATACTTTCTAATAACACAGATTGCCCAAAATAATTAATCTTCTCTAATTAAGGGACAACATTCTGAATATTGATTGTCACTCTATGAAATGAGACATACAGAGGCAAGAGATTCATTATAAATTACCATATAAGATATTAAAAGAGAACAGTTAATTAACTTGCATACCAGTTAGGTTCACTTTAAACAAAAACCTTTGGTTTTCTTTAATTTTTTCTAATACTATATTTTATATAATTAATCTGCCAACACACATACACACCCATAATAATTCTTAGTCAACATTTTTGCTTGGTTGATTTCTGACTGAACTTCAGTATACATTTTTCTTTTAAAAAATCTTTATAGAAAATATTCGATATCCCTTTTGGAAAAGTTGCAGAAACAGTACAAATGACTTTTTCCTTATGGCATTTGAAACTATGTTGTCAAACTGTCCCACCACCCCTCATTTTTCTTACACTAAATACGTTCTTAACACGATCATCAAAGTTAGAAAATAAATGTTGACTACCTGTATTCCCAGACCCTACTCAAGCTTTACACATGATATCAATGATGTCTTCTGTGACAAAATGATTTGAACATCATTGCATATTTTATCCTTTAGAATTATTTTATTTCTGAGTTTATTCCACCTACGAGTAGGATTAATTAATAATGTCTGATATTTTGTATCCTATCTCACTCAGATTCATCTCTTTTAATTTCTGTCTCTCACTCTCTATCAACTTTTTCCTGGATGAAGACATCTCTCCCACTGGTACTAAAGCTGCATTCATTGGTTTGAGAAGTCGGAGCCCCTTGGTTATACACACTATTAGCTCCGTTAAAGGAAGCGTTTCACACTTCCGGATTGACCTAGAAGTGCTGATCCTACGCGGCCTGGATCAAACCATCAGCTGCACCTTTCTGATCCTGCGTCTTCCTCCTGTCCCCATGCGCTGCAGCACATCTACACACAGCAGGTCATTAATGCTACCGCTCTGCTTTGACTAAACAGCTTTTTGAATTGACAGTAAAACTTCTCATATCACACTTCACTACATAAATCGGCTATGAATTGTATTATACTAATGCATTTGTTATTAGAGTACTAAATGCCAATGTACTAATGTTTGATAGTCTCTCCTCCATCACCACCCCCTAAAAAAAAAAAAAAAAAAAAAAAACAGGTAAGGTTTCCCAAAGGTCAGAAGAAAAGAAAAAAATGCCCTCAGTAAATTAATATACTATACAATTAGAGCCCTCTGATTTGCCCCTTCCCTCTGGTCAGGTGATGCCACAGGGCTATTTGGAAGAAGGATTCATTCATTTACCAAATTTTACTAAGCCCTACTGTGTGTCGAGCATACAAAGCCTCTGACCTCAGGTGATAAGGACGGATATAAAATGACCCGGATGAAAGCTGTGTTTTTTTATGTCTACCTTAGTAACAAGAAGCTGTATCCCTTGGTAATTGTGTTCATTTTCAATACTTACTGCACAGTGAATGTCTTTCTTCTCGTGTAACTGTAGTTTTAACATCGCAGGACTCTTCACAGTCTTCCTTATAAACAGTGTCACTACTCTGACTTTCATCTTTTGCATCAGTTACATCTTCCACACTATTAACTACTGGAGAACTCTTTACATTAAAACAATGAAAACAAGAAGAAGGTCTGAAATATGTGGATCTAACACATAATAAATAAAACTATAAAAAAAAATTAGAGTTCCAGACATACCATGAGGATAATCCTTAGAAAAAATATAATTAACTGATTAATTCAAACTTCCAGGGGCCGGGGATATAGCTCAACGGCACAAGTGCCTGCCTGGCAAGCACAAGGTCCTGATTTTGATTCCCGATACCAAAAAAATTTTTTTAAATTTTTTAAAAAATTCAAACTTCCATAAGCAAACCTTATGGATAAATTTTAGATAGGAATAATAAGTGTATGTTAATTCAATACTTTCATCATCCTTTTTTCTTCTCAACTTCCAAAATAATATATTTAGGGTTTATTTCCATTACTGTGACTCTACTGCCTTGACTTTAACTTCTGCAAATCTGTATATGTAACGCAGGGCTGAGTCTTTCCTCTTCTAAGCATCTTGCAGTTTGAATTTCCTTGAGAAGGGACTAAGAAATGTTCCTGAGACACCTACATTTCTAGCCAAATGGACTTTCCGCAACCATCTATTGTTAAATTGTAAGGGAAAAAATTGTAGTGGCAAACCCATAGCTTTTGTGTAAGATAACACAAGTAAGGGTTTGAAAGGTCAAGTGCTCATCAATTTGAAAGTAATCAAAAAATTAATAATAAAATTAAAAATATGGAATTTTGCTTTGCAAAATCTATAACATATATCATTAAAAGGCCAATTCTTTTTTTTTTTTTCCTCTGGTACTGGGAATCAAACTCACAACCTCATGCTTGCCAGGCAGGCGCTGTGCCACTGAGCTAAATCCCCAGCCCCTTAAAAGGCCAATTCTAATTATCATTCCAAAAGTATCTGCAATTATCAGTGTGCTATTGGTTTCTTCAATATTAAAGCATTCTTTGGTAGAAGTTATATAAATTTAATATCTATTTTAATAAAATAATAACAAGTTTTGTCCTGCTTCATCTGGATATTGAGAGAAAATTATAGAAGCAACTATGTTATAAAGATGTTATATCCCCAAAATGATGTTTACATTTTATTACACAGTTCTATTTTAATCTTCTTTCACTTTCTACTTCTGTGATGACTGACATACTGGATGTTTTCAAAATTCTAGCTTATATATATCCTTTTTTCTAGAAGGTTCTTAAATTTTAGCACATACTTTAAAAAATTCAATCATTAATATTTCTGAGATTTTTTTAAAGAATTTGTTCTTGTTTCAATCACGGAACACTGGGATATGGTTTTGATACAACGGTAAAAACAGTTCATGAAACTTGAAAATTATAAACCAGCATTAAAATATGTGAGGCTTCAAATCTCCAGCTGCTCACAGCATTGCATACACCACATTGGCTATCACTCTCATACTGTTTTAGATTTCTTAATTAAACATTCACAAGACCATACCTGAAATACAAAACTTCATAGAAAAACTTTTTTTACAACAGCAAAGTAATTTTTTTATTCAAGTTAATCAGAAAGTTGTGAACTAGTTTTTAAACTAAGCCTGAAATTTTTCAAAAATTTTTATGAGAATTTTTAAAGTCAACCGTTTATAGTTTAAGTTTATAAATAGTAACATTTAAGCAGTCTCAACATTTCAAAATATTTTAACTGTTGCAAGCATTATATTTGATAGTATAATTAATATTTTCAAACTTCTAATATGTATCTTGAAAGCTAATCCAACTTTCCTAGCAAAAATAAATTACGAAAATTCTTACCATAGAATGATGTACACAATTACCTTGTACAGATTCTCCACAAATAAAAACACATACATTTAAAAACAAGAGAGAGGCTTGGGATGAATACATCATATTTCTCTTTAATAAACGAAAACACTTCTTCAAATATCAGTCAGCTCTCTGTGGAAAAAACTACAGGGCAAAGAGTCTTCAGTAAAAATTTGCTGGAAGGCTTACAACAAAAATGGAAGCCAATACTTAATAGTTTCCATGCCCTCCTTTGAAACACCACCCTCCCTAAGAAAAATAAGGTACCTTCTGGAAAGCCTGGCATTTTAAGTCATACAAATTCTTTTTATCATTTCATGCCAACATCATAAATCCATACTTTTGCTAGAGAGGCAGTAGACAGACAAAGCATAATTACAAATTCATCTTCTTCTTACGGGTCAAATTTTTTTACCTTCAGAAAAATGCCTTTGGAAAGGTACACCTCGGTAACTATGAAATGGTTTGCACAGAAACAGTAAGGAAGAAGAACTAATAACTGGAGTGGGAAGAGCATTACATTGGAACTATTTTGAAGTGTTAAGTAGAAATTTGTTCAATATAATATCCAGAACAGATAATTCAGACTTCATATGTACCTTTATATGAATTGTTATCATTAATGATCATACTAACCACAGAAATGTCAAATTTATAGAACATTGTGTGTTTTGCAGCTCTATTCTTAAAAATTGTGAACATAATGAAAATGTTATTGAAAATGACCATTCTCTGAAGTGGATATCTCAGTGCCTGGGATGAATCTTCAAATTTTCCATTACACTGGCTCCCTCTCTTCATTCTAGAAACACGCCTAAGACTCTAGCAATGTCAAATTAAAAGGCAAAATGAAACTTTCTTAAGGCTTGCTTCTGATTCAAAGCCTGATAATTTCAAGGCAAAGACCATAGTTTTTATGGCAGTAGCATAGTGACTGACACACAATAGATACAAATATGCACCTAACAAAGAAATATCTTAAACTAATAATCTCTTTTCTGGCTTTACCTTCTCCCTGCTACTTAAACACAAGTATTCTTTTTTTAAAAAAAAAAAAATTTATTTTAAAGAATAAAA